AATGGTAACAAGTGGAAAATAATATTTACAAATCTGTACAATGATTTGTAGGTAATTTTGACTACTCAAAACACCTGACTTATACAAAGGAAGACTGTGTTCATTCTACAATTACATGGGATTAAAGCAACATGTAGTTTTACTTGTATAATACTTCCATTTTGTATAAAAGACAGTTTGTTTTCATCTGTTTTCGAATAAACAAAGTATTGGCTTCCAGAATATTAAACTTGTTTCGGCAAATTCAGATGATAAATACACTTTGAAGCTTGTAACGGCATAATTACAAGCAGAGAACGGACTAATGTAACATCACAGCAAGCATAACAACAGCCGTGTGTTATGAACACATACGCAAGTATGACATCATCTGTCGCTTAGTGAGTTATCTGAAAGCGTTTTCCCCTCTCCTGAAATGACATGACCCAAAAATGTAACTGTTCTTTGTACATATTGGAGTTTAGACAAACTAGCCTTCTGGCCTTCGGCTGCGAGGTATTTTAACAAGGAAATGGTATCAGCTCCACACTGTTCGGCTGTGGGTGCTATAAATCATGAGGTCATCAAACTGGCCTTGTATGAGAGCGGTGCCTTTAGAAACTTGGAGAGAGACCAACCTTGTACACAATGCCTGGTTGTACACAGTAGACTTGACACAAACGTGTGAATGTGTAAGGTTTACCCTTATATTCAAATGTGAACAAAATTGACTGTCTTTGTGTACAGGAACACTAAAAAAATGCATTTGAGAGATCTTATGACAGTAAAAAAATGCTGCAGAGGCTGGAACTTGGGAAAGAATCAGATAAGGATGTAGGACGAGCGGGCATGCACAGCTGCATTTACTGTAAATCCTGGACAAATCTCCACTCGTCAGGAGGTTTTGTCTCTGATCTTTTTGACAGGAAACACTGGAGTGCGTACCGGAATCGTTACACGGAATAATGACCCCTTGTTTAAGCAGAGAGGTAAACACTGGCCGAATGCCATCAACAGCTTCACGTTTCAATGGGTACGGGGGTTGATTTGAACGGAACGTGGACATTAAACATACGTCATATCTGTGAGCTGCCCAGAGTGAGCATGGCCCATCTGAAAACGCGGCAGGAAGCTCAGAGATATGAGAATTACCTCATCATCCTCAACCAACAGCAATGTGCGCAGAACGGCTACGTTCGTGCACATTTTCATTTGATACACGTCACGTGACACATGTACATATTCTGTGTGTGTAGGTGTCCAATCAGTGACTGACTCCCAATCTTTAACGATTGGATCCAAATCCCTCTATCTCTCAGTGGGGCCCCTGGCTAGTGAAATGTGTGGACCGCCCCTGGGATTTGACACAGTTTGTGTTGTGTGGGTGTTGGGTGTGAGTGCAACAGGAACCAGCAAACTCCTCCAAGCATAGTTTTAAGCATGAGCTCATCATTCACACATTCTAACTGAAAACTCTCATCATTTACACGGATCATCAACAACGTTAGCACGTATAATGCAAATGAGAAGCCTCCATGAACACAGCAGGTGGAAAAACACGTTGATCAGTCAAACGCAACAACGCCTGAGAATCAGGATATGTCAGCAGCCATTATATACACATTCACACAGTTCTTTATCATCAAATGCCAGTTTTTGAACCATCGTAGGAGATGGCTGCCGGACTTTAATACCCTCATTTGTGGAAAAAATGAGATCTAAGCCGAACCGGAGAATCAGATCTCTGCCCAGTAAATTTATTAGGCAGACGGAGGATAAAAGAAACTGTTTTTTTACTTATGTGGGAAATGGATTGACTATCATCACCGTTATCTCCACTCTGAAGTGATACAAAAACTTCTCCTTTAGTCACCCCAGCCGCTCCTATTGAGTGCATAAATCTACCACTACATTTGCAATCAGGCAAATCTGCCCTTTTTACTATAGAACATCAACACCCATGATAGCTCAAGTTAGTGTGGGACATTTCTTCTACTTTTACTCAATAACCATCATTCACACATTTTCCAATTACTCAATAGCATGATGTGTGTGTGTGTGTGTCACTTCCCTGGTTCGAACGCTGGCTGAATTTCCGTCTCGCTCGATCGGGTCCCCTCCTCCCCATCTGGTGTAGGTCAGTCTGATTGTGAATGGCCCTGTCCTTGCTGTCCCCCTCTCTGCCTCCACTCGCCAGTGTTCTGTGAGCAGTCCCATAATCCAATGTTCAACACTGCCACACTTGAAACATCTTTCGTCAAATTAAGGTCTTGCTTCTCGTCTTCTGCCTCGGAAAACCTCTTCTTTCTCTCCCTCGGTATTGTGATCGGCCAGCATTCTGCGTAGCTTGCGCTGTGTCTGTGAGTCCGTTGAGAAAGGCATTACTGAGGTGTGTTGCCCAAACACCTGCTTGGGCTTCGGTTTGTTTATCCCGCTGTTATCCCCATCTACTTGGGGCTGATGGGGGTGGACGAGCTTACGGGGAGTCTGTTGACTGCATGGCTGGGACTTGTAGTGGCGGTGGAGGTGGTTGAGGTGGCCCAGCCGGATTGCCAGGGTTGTACCCCGGGGGAGGGAAAGGATACCCAGTCGAGGAGAGGTCATTCAGGCCTGCAATGGAAGAACACAGAGATGTCTGGGGTTTACATGGTTTTGTAAATAATTTATTTTCCTTCTTTTCTTCACATTCATCTTCAACCTTAATATTTTCTTTAATGCCCAAGGCCAACTGCCTTCTTTCACGGCATTCTGCTTAATCCTCCCAGTATTTATTATAAACACTTTCTGTGAGTGTCCAGTTTTCTATATAAGTCTTTTACTTTATCTTTATTTTTATTTCTACTTCTTCTTGTAATTTATTCTTTAGGTTCTTGATTTTTTATTTACTCAAAAAAAAAACTCCCTTTGGAAATCCGAACATTTCCGTCCATATATTTAATTTAGACAGACTGTCCTCACCATATTTTACTCTCATGACATCCACAATCGGACCCTTAGGGGGGTGTACAAGCCCCCTACTCTACTTTGCTCCCATGACAAAGTCTCTAGATGTTACCAAACCACCCCTGACAAAACAAGGGGTGTTTAAACACCTTTCTTTTCTTTTTTTCATCCGTCGATGATGTGATATTTGTTTCTCAGTACAACGAACTCGGAAGGCTTCCAATACTGGGATTTTGGGGACTTTATCTAAATCAATTAACTCACATTTTTTATCTTGCAACCAGTGCATTTAATTAAGTGGAGGTGAAAGGTCGCTTGAATTGGGTTTTGAGATGTACAGATCACTCATTTTGATATTAATATTAAACTTAGTTTTCTTTTCTTTAATTTTTCATCCTCGTGTAGAATGCTATCACGAAACACACATTTGGTTGTTTATAGCATAAAGAACATCTGAGTTAATGTGAGGTAGGGAAATAATCATTTCCGTCCATATATTTAATTTAGACAGACTGTCCTCCCATATTTTACTCTCATGACATCCACAATCGGACCCTTGGGGGGGTGTACAAGCCCCCTACTCTACTTTGCTCCCATGACAAAGTCTCTAGATGTTACCAAACCACCCCTGACAAAACAAGGGGTGTTTAAACACCTTTCTTTTCTTTTTTTTCGTCGATGATGTGATATTTGTTTCTCAGTACAAATCACGCAAAAACTGATCGTAAACCCACGATCTACGACGGGATAAACCCTACTTTCGAGCAGTCCTTCTCATAAATGTCATGGAGTTTTAATTACGTTTAACTTTAAACAATTTAGACACTGCACTTCTCACCCAGTATTGGAAAGCCTTTTTAAGTCCGTTTGATCTCGTGAAGTCAATCAGTTCCACCCCCGCCGCTGGTCCTCTCGTCCCGTACTGTTTTTGTCGCGGGGTAGAGGGAATCCGAGGATCCTGGAGCTACCAACCAGCGTTCGTAGGTGTTCCCAATCGAACTTGCAGAGACCCTGCTCGCAGCGCCAATTGTTATGGAAATCTAAAAACCCCAATACTGTAGAGTACAAGTCAGAGTGATCAAATCAAATAAATGGTGAATCAGACAGAGTTGTCTTTCTGGTATTTATTTGAAGCTTCAAATATATATATTACAATACAATAAATATAGACACAGGTCCCACAGAGTATAGAATAATCTTCGCGAGTGTGCGCAGTTCAATATGGCAGCAAAGCTTATATAGCAGAAATGATGAGAATGTAAGAAATCTGTCTTCACACGGTCACATTGTTATTAGACACCTGGCCTTGAGCTGTAGAAGTTCTCGTGTGACTATGTGTGAGTCTCAACCCAGTAGCCAAAACAGCTCTGTGGCCTTGAAGTAGAGTAGATAGAGGAAAACAGCACATCTAACCAAATGAGAAGCATTTGGTTTAAACATATCAGGATAGAGTGGACATTTCCACTACAGATGTCACTCTACAAGGAGCATCTCAACGTCTTGGGCTGCCCTTAGAGGGGTGTCCCTGGAAACCATCTGCGCCTCGGCGTCGTGGGCATCGTCTGGCACATTCTCCAGGTTCTACCGGGTCAATGTCGCCACTCCCCATCCTTTGGGCGTGGTCCTGTTGCCGAGCTCCGCTGCTTCCAGTACTGAGCAAGGGCTTGGATTCTTCATGACATGGTTGGTATAGGTCATCCAGTGCTAAAGCACCGCCTCTGGCGGTCAGTAGGGACGAAATAGAACGATAGTTACGGCTGTAACTACGGTTCTATGAGTCCCGGATGACCGCCAGAGTTTCCGGTCACTCAGAATTCTTGTGTGCTTGCGAGAAGATTCTGGGAACCGATCTACTAATGACGCCGGCCTATGTAGCCGTAGTCACGTGGGTCACAGGTGACTTTGTTGTTATTAGGTACTCGAACTGCGCATGCGTGCGATGGACATATCCAATGCTAAAGCACCACCTCTGGCGGTCATCCGGGACTCATAGAACCGTAGTTACAGCCGTAACTATCGTTTTAAATAGTGATGTCACCATGGTCCGGATCTTCATTCTGCTTCTTGTCTCTTTGCAGTGTTTTCCTGTGTTTGCCAAAGCTTGAGATCCTCGATGGGATCCCAAAGCTGCCAGAAGACTCTCTGCCCACCAGACTACAGTTCCCAGAAACCACCAGGATGTGCAACATTTTATGACCCTGGCAGCAATGAACAGGCTTCAGCAAAGAACTCTTCAACTCACACATTGTGTCTCTACAGTTGCCGAAAAACACTGACAAAGCCGACAATAGAACTGTATTGTGTAAGTGCTCCAAGGCCATGCAAAACCCTTTTATATGCAGTACCAATTATACATAGTATGATTTATCTTTGGTAATGATATTTTTATACATTCTATCCACACATTTTGATAATAAAAACAACATGTCATGAAGTCTTGCTGCTGTTTCGCTCTATTTCTGCTCTGTTTTTAACTGAATGTGGTGCAGAACAAAGATTGAATGGTTGTGACGAACTTTGGCTCTGATGGAGGGGAAGTGGAGGAAGGATGATCAGATCGCTGCGTGACTCATCTCCACTCACTCTCATCTCTCAGGACTTTGCTGAGCCAACACTCACACTCTTTCTGCTGCAGACTGCACCAAACACATCGAGAGAGCTTTCTTTATTTTCTTCGAGATTATCTTGTACACTATCGTATGGATTCGAAGATATTTTCCTTGTTGTCGACAACATAATGCCTTCATTTAAAAAAAAAAACTAAATACAGAGGTGTGCTTGTTATTTTCCTGTCAATTCTTTACATGATACGGAATAAGACAAGTAATAGCAAAAATGATAGAAAAATCACGTTAACATAATCATAATTAAATAAAAAATGAAATAATCATAATTAATATTAATAATTAAAATGATAGTATATTTAAAAATTAATAAATTATGAAAAATCATATGAAAAATAATATAAATTAATAAATAGAAAAAAAATACAGAAGAAAATAAATAAAATTAATATTAGAGATGAAAAAGTAACTCTGATAAGATTAGCGATTTCATGTATGAGAGATTAAAGTGTACCTGAGGAACCCAAAGTAATTATTATTTCTCCATGGATGCCTTAGATTTTAATTGGTGTCTTCAGTGTAAATCCGTACAATATGAAAAGAAAAACCGGTCATCCACTTTAGAGCCTTATCAAACATTTAGTGTCCAGACCCCCCCGAGGATAATGGCCTCTGAGTGACTGGGTAATCACCCAGCTGGTCACACACACAGAACATCCCGATTAATCCTCGGCCGCTTGCAGAGCACTCACACTGGCAGGACTTACAGTAAGTCCCTCTCAAAGTGTGGTTCTGAAAAGTGCTTTGGATAAAAGAACAAATCCATACTTTCATACATAACTATTGTCGCTACACCTGATTTACTTTGCAGCAGTCCATGAACGAGCACTAGGTTTCTTTTCCCTCGCAGTGATGCAGAGAAATGTAAGCAGCCGGTATTAGAGACAGTTTCACGCCTCGTTTGTGTGTGTGTCTGTCTGTCTGTCTGTCTGTCTGTCTGTCTGTCTGTCTGTCTGTCTGTCTGTCTGTCTGTCTGTCTGTCTGTCTGTCTGTCTGTCTGTCTGTCTGTCTGTCTGTCTGTCTGTCTGTCTGTGTGTGTGGTGTGTGTGTGTGTGTGTGTGTGTGTGTGTGTGTGTGTGTGTGTGTGTGTGTGTGTGTGTGTGTGTGTGTGTGTGTGTGTGTGTGTGTGTGTGTGTGTGTGTGTGTGTGTGTGTGTGTGTGTGTGTGTGTGTGTGTGTGTGTGTGTGTGTGTGTGTGTGTGTGTGTGTGTGTGTGTGGAGATAGAGGGAAGTCTGCAGCTGAGGAATGAGAGATCATTTCTGCTGCGGAGAGACAACACACAGGACAGGATTTTGTTTTTAATGAAGGAAATCACAATGTTTTGATTATCTTTAGGGCCAGTTTCTAACAGTAATGGAACAGATACTCAGATATTTTTACCTTAACGAGGCTCTCAGTTGTTTCCCTCTCCTGTAATGTGTAATATACAGTAGGTGTTTGTGCATGTCAATGGTCTGCAAAGGCTAACATCCCAAAGTTCCACTCCAACACATTGTACGTGATAAGGGACAGGACATCTCTAAGCGGTTGACCAATCACAACAGAGCCGGCCAGCTAACCAATCAGAGCAGACTGGGCTTTGGTTTCAGACAGAGGGTGAAAAGAGGTGCTGCAGCACAGGCAGTATGAGAACAATAAAGACCTTTCTTAACATTAAAGCATGGAGACATGTCACAGTAGAGACACAACATACAAATTGAAGTACAAGTACCTTAAATGTGTACTTAAGTGCTTCACTTCAGTACATGTACTTGCCCCCACTGTCTCCACCACTGTGCCAGATAAATGAGAGAGTTGATCTTCCCAAAAATGATGGGTGAAAAATAAAAAAGCACTTCCTTTCATAGCTCAGAGCTTTCCAGTAAATCTTGCGCTGGTGTTAAAAAGGATATTTTAAATATATACATTAAAATGTGTGGCAGCCGTGTGGGCATGCGTCTCAATATAGACTCTGGGCTTAACATGATTCATGCCTGGTAATTTACCCATGAAATGATGACTAAAAAGTGAGGAGGAGTTATCATCTCGCTGCCATTGCTTTTCACTTTTCAAATGTGTGTGTGGCCTAACATTACTATCCTTGTGGGGACCTAAATCTGTTTACACAGTCACGTGTGGGGACTGGCTTCCCTTATGGGGACAAAATGGAGGTCCCCATAATCATTGGGAATCATTAATTTTAGGGTGAAGACTTGGTTAGGTTTAGGCATGTTTTGGTTATGGTTAAGGGTTAGGATAAGTCTCCAGGAAATGCATGTAAGTCAATGCAATGTCCCCTGAAGTAATGTATACATGGTAAGTGTGTGTGTGTGTGTGTGTGTGTGTGTGTGTGTGTGGCCTTCAGTAATGAGACACCTGTTACTCCTGCAGCATCCCACATCCCTCTAGAGAGATCAACAACAGCAGAGGGATGATGACAGGGGCAAAGAAGCAAAGAAAGAGAAAGGGGTAAATGGAGGGAAAGGAGAGAGGGGTGTTGACAGGAAGTGAGTGTCAGGAATAGAGTCTGAGAGGAGGAGGGATGATTTGATTGAGACTGTGTGCCGGGGACAAATGTTGTTCATTAGAGGTAATTGTCTTTCCCAGCCGACCCACTATCATTTGATTTTTATTTCATCCTGATTTGTCGGTTCATTTCCCGTGTGAGCGAGTTCACACACAATCTGCTCACCTTGCAGTTCCCAACGCTGAAGCACGGGAAAAGGAAGAAAGTAAACTACTTGTCAATAAACCTGACTGATTCAGATCACACAACACAATCTCAATGACTTTTAAAATCATTTGACCTCTTTATTTCACACATTCAGGTGGCAGACATGGTTCAACACAATCAAAATCACACTTTTTTGTATCAAATATAACTGGTGGAAAAATGTAAAAATGTTCAGCATTTGTTTTCTTATACATTGTACAGCAGACTAAACGAGTTGGCAGTAAATCAATTGCTTATCTATCCTGTTGAAATGATTTTCCCATAGTGAAATGACTAAAAGATCTAGTTGAGGTTTCCAAGAATTAAAGGCACATGTCAGTGTGACTCTTTCAGCACATAAGAAATATTTTAGGCTGGCGTTTTGCAGAAATATCCAGTGAAAAAAACTCCTGTTATCTCGCTTCGTTGGTATCGTTGGTAAAAGCCATGCAAACGTGCGATGCAGCTTCAGAAACGATGCAAATAAAAAAAGGCAAATGTGCCAAAACACATGCTGATAAAGAAACATATTTACATGTTTCTTTATTAGCATGAAAACATGTGAAAACACATTGGGGAGGAGTGGCGCAGTGGGCTGTGCGTTTGATCATCAGATCAAGGGGGCGTTGGGGAACTCCAGTTCGAAACCCGCCACTGCGTCAGGCCGTTGTGTCCTTGGGCAATACACTTCAACCGAATTTGCTCCTGTGGGTAATGTCCACAGTTCATGTATGATATTAATGTGTACTTGTAAAGCGCCTCGATGACTTTGAGGTGTGAAGATGGGCGGTGTGGCGCAGTGGTCTGTGCATTGATCATCAGATCAAGGGGGCGAAACCCGCCGCCGCTGCGTCTGTAAAGCCGTTGTGTCCATGGGCAAGACACTTCACCTGAATTTGCTCCTGTGGGTATTGTCCACAGTACATGTATGTCTGATATGTATCTGTAAAGCGCTTTGGGTCATGGAAAAAGTGCTATGATAAATATAAGGAATTATTATGTCCAGCTTTTACAAAAAGCGCTGCATGAACAAAACAATGTAGGAAGCTCAATGGAAACTGTGACACTAAAAAGTGATGCACACAGCTGGGACTGGAGCGCTTGTTGACATTTGGGGATTATAAAGTTGTCCAATTAAGAAACAGACAACTCTGTTGGCAGAGTTGTCTGTTTCTTAATTGTAAGTGTTTTGTCAGTATATTTGAAATGACTAGGTTAGCTACATTAGCTAGCTAGCTTACAGCAGTTCTGCAATAATATCAGAAGGAATCATCCGATCACAATGTTCAAATAAAACATCAATAAAACATTTTAGGTAACTTTCCAACAACAGTGACAGTTGGCCAACTTGACAATCCCTGAACTTCACCAAGCGCTCCGGTCCGAGCTGTGTGCGTCACTTTTTAGTGTCCCCTTGTTTCCGTTGTGTTTTGAGCTTCTTGCAGCGCTTTTAGTAAACACTGCGCATGTGTCGTCAAGTCGGTGAAGATGTTTCGTCACTTGTGTTTTAGCACATTTGTGTTTTGTTTTTTCGCATAGTTTCTGAAACTTCAGCGCATTTCTCCTCATGGAAGTGTTTTGGGACGTTCTAGCGTGTTGGCCCTTGTCGGCCACCGTACATTATGACACAAAGTGTTCAGTCAGGAAAATAAAAAATAAATGTTGCACCCTTTTTTTCTGATTGTCGGAGTTGTTGCGATCAAAAATAAATAACAGCGATTGGAATGTGAGTTGTAAATACAAATGTGAGATCTACAAAGATTGTTTTCATAAAAACATACCTAAAAAAAAATGCAAGTAACATAATTTATCTTTGTTTTCTTTACAAATATTCAAAGACAGGACATGACGGAAATACATTCTCTGCCTCGAAAACCAGG